GGGCGCCGAAATCTCCCACCAGCACCGCGGGCAGAACACCATGACACTCCACTCTTGCCTGAGTGCCATTTACGCATAGCGGCACAGCATTTGTCAAACGAGAAGTCCAAACTTTTTCAGCATGACTGTCTCGGGCTTGCCAATTTGCATAGGGACACACGCCGCATTCAGCCACTGCACGCCAGCACGGCAGCAGCTCTACGTACACTGCCATGTTGGGACAGTACGAAGACATCCGATGCTGCTCGCATCTTCACGGATGGATCATACCAGTCCGAAACGGGCAATGCTGCATGGGCTTTTTGTGTCTTGGTCAGGCAAGATCAAGAATGGAGATTTGGCGGATTTGCCTCAGGCCGAATCGACCCCTCAGACGGTCCTTCCAGGCTTAATGCTCACATCGCAGAATTGCATGCACTCTTTGCTGCCCTCCTGACGGCAGGAAGTATGCTAGGACACGAAATTGTCATGCACTACGATGCAAAGGCAGCGGCAAACATGGCTCAGGCATTGGCGTGGTCAAAAGATTTGGACCAGCTTTCACTGAGAGTCACTCTGTTGACAGATTATGCCAAAGAGCAGGTCAGCAATTTGACATGGCATCACGTTCCAAGCCACACAGGCGAGCCGTTCAATGAGTTGGTAGATGTTGCTGCCAAAAGAGCGGCGGAGGGCAAATTTGAACATGCCCCGTTCCGCAGCTTGATGTCGAGATTTCTCTCGCAACAGGAGTTCCATTGGCTATGGCTCAAAGACAAGAGCAAGTCGCCCAACTCGGCATGGCCAGTCTACAGTGATGAACTGGAAGCTGGCGCTATCATGCCTGACCAAAGTACACAGCCAGAGATCTGCACATGGCCCTCAGACGACTCAGCCCTGAGCGTCCCGCCTGCAAGGGAAGAAGGACTGTATCAGTGGAATCTGAATCTCATGACGTACAATGCACTTTCCCTCAAGAACCCGGCCCAAAGGCAAGTCATTGCGTCACAAGGGGCCTCACAAGGCATCCACATCATTGGAGTACAGGAATCGAGGTATACTCCAGACAATGTCATCAGTCGCCAAGGCCCATACACCGTCATTGCTGGGCCGGACGATGCTGGCCACCTCGGCTGTCAGCTATGGCTCCGCAATGATGTGGCAATCGCATCCAATGGGACCAGTCAGATCTTCCTAGACCCCACTAAGGCTTCAATCATCAGAGCTGAGCCGCGACTGCTTGTCGTACTTCTAGAGACAGGCAAACAGGGCCTAGCGTGCATTGTTGGACACGGTCCCACCGCGGCTACTGAGACTGACCTCTTAGTCCAATGGTGGAGCAAACTAGACAGTGCACTTAGAGCCATCCCACATAAATACAGGCCGATAGTCCTCCTCGATGCGAATGCACGTTTTGCTGAAGGCCATAGTAGCATCATGGAGGCGCAGCCAGCCACAACTCCTGGCAGGCTCCTAGTTCAGCTGGCCAAAGAAAGGGCCCTGGCGTGCACCAGCCTTCAGGATCAGCATGGCCGACATTTCACAACATGGACTGGTCCAATGTCCAAAGGAGCCTGCATTGACTACATACTTGTGCCAAATGATTGCGAGTATGGGCTAATCACTACCGGAGCATGGACCTCCTTTCCTTCGATCCACGGCCCAGATCACTTTCCGCTGAGAGCCAGTGTTTCATGGCAGGAAGCAGGCAAATGTAGCCACAGGCACGTCCAGGTAGACAGGCAAGCCATGCTCACACCTGCAGGTAGGGAAACCATTCAACACATTTTTGATACGGCACCGCAGTTGCCCTGGCACGCACATGCCGATGATTACCTTGCCGCCATCAACACGCATGTGAGTCGAGGGCTTGTGGCTGCTTTCCCACGGCAAACCAAGCAGCCGAGGCAGCTACACATTTCCGACAAGTCGTGGCAATGGATACGCTACCGCAGAGAGCTCAGGCGACAGCTCTTTCGAGCGACACAAAAACACGGCCGACATATCCTGAGGGCGTGCTGGAATGCCTGGAGACGAGCACACCCTGCCCCGCACAGATTAGGCAACGAGTGGTCAATGCTCAAAGCCCGCATCTGCAAGCTCATACGCACCGCCAATTCGGCAGTTCGCACGTGCATGCGACAAGATGCGGCGGCTTACGCGAGGCATAGCATGCTGGAGGCCAGACAGGAAGGCCCTAGTGCTTTGGCACGACAACTGCGCGGCATCCTCAAGATCGGGCGTGCGTACAAACCAGTTCGCACATCCCCGTCACTTGTTGTTAATGGAGCCCTGGTCACCGGAAGCTCTGAGGTATCGGCAGCCTTTGCCCAGCATTTCGCCAAGGCTGAACGTGCACGACCATGTAGCAGGGCCCAGCTACAAGGTGCCCATGCCAGGGCGCATCACACTCCCGGCACCAACATCTCGGCCAAAGAGGTCCCCACATTAGTCGAGCTAGCAGGGCGGTTCGCGCGACTTCAAGTCAACAAGGCATGTGGATTTTCCAAAATCCCAGCGGAAGCCTTCAAGGCAGCTCCGTTAGCAGCCGCCAAGTTGCACATGCCCCTTCTCCTCAGAATGGCCATGGGAAGAGAACCCCCCTTCCTATGGGTCGGTGGACACTGTGTCCCGATACCGAAGCCCAATAAACCACCGCTGGACCTTAGCGGTTGGCGTAGCGTGATGCTACTTGAACCGGCGTGCAAAGCGGTCGGACAGGCCTTTCGCCCGGCGATAGTGCAGCAATTCATGGCACATGCGTTGCCGGTTCAATGCGGCGCGCAGAAAGGGGTGCCGATCTCGCTACCCATGCAGTACATCAGAACGCATCTAGCGTTGCTGGAAGCGCAAAAGACGTCCGGGGCAATCCTGTTTGTGGACGCAACCAATGCGTACTACAGCATCATCCGCCATTTCCTCTTCGCGCATGGAGACATTTGCGGGCAGCAGGCCCTGTGCAGCGCTGTAGAGGCGATCCATCCCGACCCTTGCATGCAGCGGCAGCTGCTGGCTGCACTGGCCGGACCAGGCCTGCTGCACACGTCCCCAGCTCCGGTCCAGAACTACGTGCGGAGCGTGCTGGCACATGCCTGGTTCAGTACAAAACCCCTTGCAGAACACCTGTGCGAGACCAACACGGGAACATCTCCAGGGGCGCCCTTGGCGGACGTTCTTTTCCAACTCATCTTCTCGACGGCAATGAAATCCATTCAAGATCAGATACGTGAGCACGACCTTGAGGCTGTCCTGCCCTCAGGCGAAACTGCCCCTGCTCCTACATGGGCCGATGACCTTGCGGTGCCATGTATGTGCAACCACGCTAGAGAAGTCTTGCCCCGTGTCATAGAGATTGCAGGCATCACCAGACAAGCTATGAAGAGAGTTGGATTAGCCATGAATTTCAGTCCAGGGAAATCGGAAGCTTTGGTGGTTTGGAGGGGCGCTGAAGCATCCAATCTTCGACGACAATACTTCGGTGAGGCCCACCCGCATGTGCAGGTTCCGCTTGAGGACGGCGAAGAGGCCAAGCTGACGCTGACCCGAGAGTACCTGCATTTGGGGGGTATTGTCAATGACAAAGACACGTACCGCGAGGATATACTCCATCGACAGGTGCACGCACAAGTAGCCTTTCATAGGCTGCGCCGCACTTTGTTGCATAGCCCTCACCTGAGCCCACGAGAAAAGAGCCAGCTCTTTACAAGTCTGGTCCTCGGGCGCTTTTTGCACGGAGTCGGACAATGGAAGATGAGCCGTGCAGATGAATTGCTCTTTTGTTCCATCATCCAGAAATGGCACCGGTGTCTTGTACGCCCCATCGCCAATGTCTCCGCTAAAGGCTTGACAGCCGAGCAAATCTGTCAAGTGACGGGTTGCTTGCCAGCAGAGACGCTACTCCACGCCGCGCGCGTCGCACAACTACATGTGGTGGTAACACAGGGCGAAGGCTATCTCTGGAAAGCGTTATTGCTTGCGGAAGGATGGCTGGCAATGGCGCTCAACTCGTTGCATGTAGCGCTCAGACAGACTCAGCAGGACTTCGCAATGCCGCAAGATGTGGGAGACGCCTTACAACATCTGAAGGGCAACGCAGAGATGCTCAGGTTGCTCCCGAGCAGGTACAAGCAACGCGTCGCACACCAGCAAGGCAAACACAGAACCAAGGTGCTGGAAAAGGCAGTTTTTCTTGCCAGTTTGGACGAAGAGGGGGGTTGTGCTTTCACAATCCGTCCCGACCAGGGCGAGAAGAAAGAACACTGCCCGGAATGCGGCATCAGGTGTGCTACTCCGGCAGCACTGGCATCGCATCGCCGGAAGAGGCATGGTATCCCTGGGACTGCTGCCTGCATACAGGGCACATCATGTATGGCATGCCGTATGGAGTTCTGGACTACCCCACGCCTTCGGCTCCACCTCCGCAAGCAAAGCGCCTGCATGGCGCGACATGCGGCATCCGATGTGAGCTACATGAGCTGGGAGTACACTGCGAACCTAGCGCTGACAAGACGGCCAGCCATGGTAACCCTGGGACCGCAACCGTTCTGGGCGACGATGATGCCAGCTCCGGAAACAGTCCAAGTTGCAACACAGGACTGCAATCTGTCGGTGATATGGGAGGCAATGGTGAAGCACAGCAATGCAGCCTCGCTGTTCTTTTTGAACGCGACTCGCATTTTCTCACGTATGCACACCCTGCCCGACATTGAGGATCTGCTAGAGCATAGTCCCGTAGGTGGAACCGTCGGGCAGTTGAAGGTCAGGCTTTTGGCCGACCTTTTGAGGCTCAGCGCGTGCACTGTACACAAGTACCAGCTTGGAGAAAGCGGGTGCAGCACGCAGGGCCTCTTTACAGCCAGCTTGCAAGGGCAAGCGGTTGTTTTGACAGTCGCTGGAGGCGGCTAGTTTGTCAGAGACATCGCGCGCGTCCTACGGACTCAAGCCGCAAGCTCAGAAACCCTAAACCCTAAACTGCCCTACTCTAAACCCTGAAAAACTCCTCTCCCCTCCAAGCTTCCGGCTTGATTCCACCCACCGTGGCCGGCCCGATCATGCCGATCTCGCGCATCTCGGCTTCCTGGGGCTGCACAGCATCTGAAGTTCACGGGGTTTTAGAGATGAGGGTGATGAGGGTTCAGGCTTTGGGAACGTTTGGGAGTAGCACAACTTGGAAAACGAGCTTCCTAAACCCTGACTGCACGGCATCACTAGAGTCAACAGGCTCGACCCCCTGCCTTGATCAGCAATCGCGTCTGCTGTTCCGGGACACCCTGCCGGTGTGGAAAGACAGAGTTTAGGGTTTTTCTAGATTTTCAGGGCTTCGGGTTTTGGGATTCTTCTGGAGCTTTAGGGTTTTGGGGTCGATTCTTTGCGCTGGGGGGGGGGGGGGCGGTGCTTCGCTCGGCTGGTGGGTTCTAAGCACTTCGAGGGTCCTGCCTCCGCGATGATCGCCACCTGGGTTGGGCGTATGATGCTGCACTACGCTGAATGGCGTTTAACTTAACAAAGTATCTTTAGAAAATCATACACATCCAATATATATATATATATATATATATACATATACATATACATATATACATATATGCATATAAATATATATATATATACATACATACATATATGCATATATACATATATGCCTATAGACATATACACATATACACATATACACATATACACATATATACATTATATATATATATATATACATATATACATATATACATATATACATATATACATATATACATATATACATATATACATATATACATATATACATATATACATATATACATATATACATATATACATATATACATATATACATATATACATATATACATAAATACATATATACATATATACATATATACATATATACATATATACATATATACATATATACATATATACATATATACATATATACATATATACATATATACATATATACATATATACATATATACATATATACATATATACATATATACATATATACATATATACATATATACATATATACATATATACATATATACATATATACATATATACATATATACATATATACATATACATATTATATACTTTTTACAGACAAACGTAGATAAAACCGACCGAGAAAATTCATGAAAGGCCACCCCCAACTCGGACTCGGGGGCTGGGCCGTCTTAATCTGCGGGTACTGCATGGCTTCCTGGGCGTGACCAGTGCTTCGGTGAGAGAGTTGCAAGTCTAAGAGTAGTTTAGGGTTTAGGGTTTAGGGTTTAGGGTTTAGGGTTTAGGGTTTAGGGTTTAGGGTTTAGGGTTTAGGGTTTAGGGTTTAGGGTTTAGGGTTTAGGGTTTAGGGTTTAGGGCTCAGGGCTCAGGGCTCAGGGCTCAGGGCTCAGGGCTCAGGGTTGCTTAGGGTTTTGAGGGGTGAGGATACGTGGCCGGGAGCGGTGCTTATCTTAAGGGAGTGCAAGGGTGAAGTTAAGAGGCGCCAGCTAGAGGCCACGTACATGCTGAAAGGAATGCCAGCAGAAGGAAGCTGAGCCCAAGGCCATGGTGGTCTCATAGACTGAGCGAAAGGATGCAAAGTTGATGAACCTTGGTAAGGGACATAAACCGAGGTCGGCTAGCAATGTCCAGTTTCGGGTGCGGGTGTCCATCTTCAGTGAGATTTACGCCTTTGCGATGTGCATCCCCAAGCGGTTGCTGGAGCGTCGTCCTTTGCGTGGTGCGCAGTTCTGTCTGCGTCCACTGGTCCAAATGTAGATCCTGCCCGGCCTCGCCCCCAACGGTCTGAGAAACGAGCACCCGAGCTGTTGGATATCGTTGCTTGCTCTGGGGCTTCACGAACAATGCTCCGACTCTGAAGCCGGCGCTGCATGCACGCGATCGCTTGGCAAAACCCGTCTGTGAATGTGCTTTTGGGGCATCCCCAGCAGTTGCCTCGTCAATGCCTCATTCTGATCTGATCGTGACGCTCCAAGTCATGGTTCATCCATCCCGGGGGCGGGGTTACTAGCGAAGCATTTTGGGGGCTCAAAGTGAGGAGTCATCGGGTGCGTCGGCTCCAAGGCCAGCGCGTGATGGCATCTGTGTGCTTCTGACAAGCCTCCTTGGTGGTGGTGTACACGGGGAGAAGGATCTCCTGCCACAAAAATAATCCGCTATTTCTACTCTCAGGAGCTCGCTCTGCTCGGCAATTAAACTGTTTGACCCCTCGATTCGCCAGCCTGAAGACCAGGAACTTTTTGACCTCTCGAGGGGCCCAGCCTTCAGACCCAGAACGTTTTGACCCCTCGAAGAATGGCAAGAGCAATAACTCAAACAATCCTAGAGCATACGTACGCTTAAACTTCATATTGTTCGGAATGCACAATTTACTTAAAACAAGTTCTTGGTCTTAAGGCTGGGCCCCTCGAGGGGTCAAAAAGTTTTTGGTCTTAAGGCTGGGCCCCTCGAGGGGTCAAACAGTTGTTGGTCTTAAGGCTGGGCCCTTCGAGGGGTCAAAGCGTTCTAGGTTTAAGGCTGGGCCCAGGTCAAAAAGTTCTTGGTCTTAAGGCTGGGCCCCTCGAGGGGTCAAAAAGTTTTTGGTCTTAAGGCTGGGCCCCTCGAGGGGTCAAAGAGTTTTTATCTTAAACTCAACATTTAATCTCAATCAGGGCTGGCCTGATTAATTAAACTATTTACATTGTTGGCGTTTAGAAGTCATTAATTCATTAACGTATTAAATTCAATAATTCGGTTAATGAATTTTTTTCAATCAATTTAGCCATTTAACCTCATTTGTTCAATCAACAATTGAACATTAGCCGACACCTGTGAGACAGATGTTCCGCGCCCGTGTCCCGGACCTGTGTCCCTGTCTACATGCACCAAACAAATCAATTCGCTTATTCGGTTGAATATCGATGACTTCAAGCTCAAGCTCGACAGAGGCAGATGAACTAAACTAGTTAAATCACTTTAAAATTCATTTAAAATGAATTGGGTGAATTGGATTGATTAAGCGAAAGAGCTGCCAGCGCCCATGAAAGCAGTCCTCTGTGCCCCAGTAAAACTTCACGTAGTGGTTGCCGCTGAACGGAAATACCTGCCAGTCGGACGTCCAAGGGTCTTCACTAACTTAGCAGCAACAGAGATGCTTGGTGTGGAAAATCACCTGGTCGTTGATGCTCCGGATGCTTTCTTGCATACTACGCACCGGCGGTTGCTCTGATCCTGGACTGCCGGTTTCCTAGCCCCACTCGGGGCTCTAGATGGTCAACCGTGACAACAACCCGTCGTTCGGGCACCATAGCGCAAACCGAGGGCGTCTTCCTCTTGCACATGAAGTCAAAGTCGAGCATGCCCTCACACGCGCGTCAACTTTGTGCAAGGATGAGCTCAAGAAAGGGAGCTGATCTCAGAGTCCCTGGCCTGCACTGCTCGGTTCTGCATTCCGTACACGATGGCCCTGCGCTGAGCTGCGAGACAGTGCTGTGAGACAAAGGAGAGGAACCACAATATATTACATATTATATATTATATATTGTATATTATAAATTACATATTATATAGTACACATCCACAAAAGGAGACCATGGCCTGGTCTCCGGGGTTGCCGTGACGATGGTGTGCTTCTCACCTTCAAGCGCGCCGTGGCACGAGAGCCGACACACAAGGCAAAAGCTGCGCCTGCGGGAGGAGGCTTCTGGGCCTTCTTTGCCCCGCCGCTGCTCTTGACCTTTGGGACCACACCGGGGCCCAAAAGCACTCAAAGAACGGGAAACTCGAGCCCCCATGCAACCGGTAACCGTCACGCTTCCGCGTCCCTGCCTTGATCATCTCGCGCTTGGGTGGGGGAGCAGACCCGGCGCTCAGGTCCGGCCTCAAGGGGCGATTTTTTGGGGAAGGTTTTTTTTGAGTGTTTTTTTGGGGTGCAGGGGGCTTGGGGAGATCGGGGTTGAGGTTGTCCCTGGAAAGTCCTGCAAACCTTGTGTAAAAGGGATTTGTTTACGTTAAGAAACCCTAAATCCTGCAAGCCTTGTGTAAAACCTCTCTGAAGCCCAAACTGAAATCTCGGGCCGCGGCTCGGGCAACACCGCGGTGAGGCCGAGGGCCATGGGCACCACCGCCTCGATTTGCAGGGTTTAGGGTTTAGGGGTTTGGGGTTCGGGTATAGGGTTTAGGGGTTAGGGGTTCGGTTTATACAGGGTCTAGGGTTTGGGGTTTGAAGAAGTGCGTCAAGGATGACGGAGGATGGTCTGGTCGACTCGAAACCGTCTTTAAAAAAAAAAACAAAAACCGCATAAGGGAGATCCGGAGATCCCTACAATACCAGGGCTGGGGTCCCGGTGGCACAGCCACCCCTGCCCTGCAGCTGAGTCACCGTGATGTGGGTCTCAGGGCCATAGACCTGCCACAAACATCTCAGTGGGCCTCTAGACACTAGACACTGAAGTTTTCAGGATTCCTGCTGGAAGCTGAGCCTGCGTAGTACCATGTAGCACCGCTACAAAGCCGCCCCGCGTGCGGCGCGTTGAGGCCCCCGGGCCTTGACTCCCAAGCCAAGCTTGTCGCTGGCGACCTTCAGCTTCTTCAGGCCCTGCATCGAAGGAGTCGCTGGGAACCTTCCCCTTGTGTGGGTTTAGGGTTTAGGGTTTAGGATAGGGTTTAGGGTTTAGGGTTTAGGGTTTAGGGTTTAGGGTTTAGGGTTTAGGGTTTAGGGTTTAGGGTTTAGGGTTTGGGGTTTAGGGTTTAGGGCCTTAGGGTTTAGGGTTTAGGGTTTAGGGCGGCGTTCTTTGTGGGGTTGGGCAGTCAAGGATCTCTCTCGGTGACGTGGTGTTGAGATGGCGCTACACAAGCAGTTCTCCTCCGATGAGGGGAGACTCGCTCTTCTGAGTTTCATGTCGCAACAACCTTCAGTGCCCCTAAACCCTAAACCCTAAACATCCCTAAACCCTAAACCCTAAACCCTAATCCCCAAAGGTAGAGAACTGACTCTTCGGCCACCTCCAAGTAGTTCGGCCCGGCTCGGCGGCACCAGATTTGGATGTTGTGCTCCTCAGGAGCTCGACGATGAAACCCAGAACCCTACACCGCGGGGTTTCGGTTCTAGGGTTTACACCCAGAACCCCTAAACCGCAGGGTTTTGGTTCTCGGGTTTAGGGTTTAGGGTTTAGGGTCTGCCCTCTCCCCCCCCACCACCCCCTAACCGCACTCTCCGCGTGATTCTTTCTTGGGGTCTCAGCTTTTGCTGAACAGGCCCACATGCCATGATTTCATGAGTCAGGCATAGGCTTGGGAGTTGTAAGCTTTTTGTGTCCAGTGAGGGTGTGCGGAAGGACAGCACCACAATGTCGAAAGCTCAAGGGACACTTGTGTTCCGAGGCCTTGATCTGATCCGCAAACATCTGCAAGGCCTTGATGAGGCCGGTAAAAGTGGCCTCGGAATCGGGAAGAGCTTGTGACGGATGGTTGAAGGCCACTTCCTGATCTTCCTGGTGCGGGATATCTTGCAGGACCTTGATGCCCGGACTCAGCGAAGTCAGGTGCCCCGGCAAAGCCCACTCTAAGTCCACCCCCCCTGGAAGCTGACCTGAACATGCCACCAAGGTCTGCACTGCAACATCGGTAAAGTTCGCGATGCCTCGGCTTCGACTGTAAGAGTCCCTGTGGTCTTGCAAGCACCGTGTGTCTAGGGCTCCTTTTTGAGCTTCGGTTCGCCACACTTTCGGGGGAGTCAGGGTTCCGGCCCAGCCTCCTTGAGCCCAACACGAGAATCCCAAAAAGCAGAAGCCACTAAATTTTGGGTCTCCCCATCCCGGCCTCCACCAATGATCAGGAACTTGCCCTTGGGGTCCTTGTAGCGGCACATCAAGGAGAGGATGGTCTTCGCATAGGTGAAGGTCTCCTGGCAAGCTTGCCCTTAAGGGCCTTAGGGTGTGAGACCTTGAAGTTGGGGTCAGAGGGTATTGGGCATCCATGGCCAGCTTGTAGGGGCTTCTTTGAAGGCTCATGGCGCGCTCATATGGGGCTTGTGGTAGGACTTGCAGGGTTTATGGGGCTCCGGGGGCCGCTAGCCTTTGTGGAGGTGCGGTGTACAACACCATTCGGCCCTTTCGGCTGCCTCAGTCGTGGGAGCTCCGGAGTATTCGCCGTAGTTGGCCAACTCCTTTCCGAATCCGTAGTCCTGGCTGGTCGGGGAGGTCAGAGCTTCATCTGACAAGTACTATGATCCCCCATACTATGGAATCTCTCCAGATAATGGTCCCTTCTTGGGTTACTTAGGTTTAGGGTTTAGGGCTTTTGTTTCCAAATTAGAATACAGAACTACCCATATTTCTTCGCCGTTGCATTACGAAAACCTTCTGCTCGTGGCACGCTTCATCTGGCAACGGGATGCAGCAGGTCCCTGAAAATGCCTTCCCAGAAAAGAGCGCCATGTCACAAAGAAAGCTTTGCCAGGGAGGCCGCCACGGTGTCGGAGTACACAACAGACGCGCCGCCACCAGCCACCATGGTCCAAACCTGATGTGGCTGAGCGGCAAGTTGTATTTTATCGAGTCATGCTCCCGATCCCCTCCGCCTTCCCCACGCTGAATCCCCGTGACCACTACAACCCACTTCGTTCGGAGTTCTGTCCGTGTTGCTGTTGGGGATCAACGCGAGGGGTGAGCAGACAATCGCAGCAAAGAGAGCTGATAATCCCTGAGGCCCACGCACGGCCCTTGTCGTTGAGGATGGTCAGCTTGAGGGAGGCACCGGTCTTCCTTACAAAAGTCGGACCCAGGTACCCTCCCCTACCCGTGGCTGTGGCGTGGATTAAAGAGAAAGAATCTCTGTGGCTCAGCTGCTGGCCCGTCTAAGTCTCGAATGAGGGCCTCCAAAAACACCACGCAGCAACGAATCGTGCACGAATGAAAGGCGTGGGGGAGCCTGCCCCTAGCTACAGCTCATCTATCTCTCGGCAGCTCTTCACTGTCTCTACTGAACCCTGCAAGGAAGAATCATGCCCTATGGGGGTTTCCGAAATTGGGGGGTACCTTCTTGGGGGGTCTGATTTTTAACTATTTGGGGATCTGTCTTGGAGGTCCCCTGTTTTCGAAAGAAGAGGCCCACCTCCTCTGGATATGCGGCTCGACCAAAAGGGGATGGCCTGGCATAAGCCCTGCTCAAGTCCATGGCAAAGCTGGAGATGAGTGTAAAGGGCTACTATGCAGCACACGGATTTGCAAGTCCGAATCCTAGTATAGTGGAATAAACATGACAGCACATGGTCGACAAAAATCGAGCCAAACATGTCCGGCTGGACCAATCCAGCTCACCCCACTTCTGGGCACACCTGAGCGCGCGTGACTTCAGGTGGTTGAGACTGCGAAGGCTCTCTACCAACTACACCTCGGCTGTGGCGTTGCAGCTCCGATCGTAAACAATGGTCACTCAAAACCAGCCGCATGAAGAAAAAAACGAAGAGCAGAAAGAAAGGGCAAAAAAGAGGTGTCTGGCACATGGACCGAAGCTGAGGTTGAAACAGGAACGCGGCAGTCTCATCGATCTTTGCGACGAGGTCCAGGGGCACAATCTGCCAACAGGTATGACAGGGCCTCCATGAAGCCCGAAATCTGAAACCTGAAGCCGACCCCCATGGAAGAATCGCATTCATCTAGAGAACAGAAGCAACCTCTGCAACATCTGCTGCCTTGTTGTTGGAGAGCAGGGCAATCGGGTTGATCTCTAGGTACGCGAAGTGCAGGTCGCGGTAGAAGGCGAAAAGAGCCTCTCAACCCAGCATTCCGCGATACTGACTGAGCGGACACTTTAGGCTTCGGTTTATGACAGCCACAAGCAGCCTTTTGAAAGCTTTTTTGGATGTCCGAACAGATGGCCAGCGCTGTCTTGCCAAGGTTCCGCCCAGATGTGCCATCTGGATGCCGAGAATCCCTTCATGTCATAGTGGAGCTCATGAACACCTCAGTGTTTTGTAGGACAGCTTTGGCCAAAGCGTCCGGCGAAATACCACGGCAGCCAGCAACAACCTCTAAGACTTGTCTCATCTGGCAGGGCTCACACCTGTCTTTCACACACTTGCCCTCTTCCCAGCGCTCCGGCTTCTTAACCTCGTCCCAGGTGCTCTGAACATAATGATACCCAGCATGTGACGCCTTGATGCCGCACCAGGGGGCGTCCGTTTCCAGAAGAATGCTCTTCTCCGGCAAAGATTTGACCACTGCCAGGTTCTCTTGCGTTTTCAGGGAGCAGCCGTTGATGCCTATGAAGAAGCCCAGCGAGATAAACTTCTCCGCCTCCTCAAGACTGCCATCGAAGCTGTGCACAACACCCGGCTGTGCGGGTAGAGACTCGCGATACTTCTCCAGGAGCACCGCCAAGTCGGAAGCCGCCTCGCTGGTACGGCAGTGCAGGAACAAAGGCTTCTGCAAGGGGATTGCCAACTCCACGAGCTGTCTCTCGAAGTATCTCAGCTGCACGTCACGTGGACAGAAGTGCAGTCGGTCGTAGTCCAGACCACACTCGCCGATGGCAGAGCAAAACGGGCCGGCGGCCTTCGCAGCCTCAACAAGCGCACGGAGGTGAGCTTCGGGAGATCCCGTCTCATCAAACTCGGAGCAACGGGTGGGGTGCACCCCCACCGTGCAGCAAAGACTGGGCCAGGCGGCTTCGCTCTTTTGGCAGAGCTCCAACGCCTCCCGGGATTCCTGCAAGCTCCCTGCCGTGACCATGATGCGGGTTACCCCAGCCTGGCGGGCACGAGACAGAACTGCAGAAAAGTCTGCAGGGTGCCGAGCTTTGTCACGGTAAATGCCCTGGAACATCGGATCCAACAAGTTTGCCCCGATGTCCACCAGCGAAAAGGGCGCAGCGCTGGTGTCCTTGGTGTCCTTGGAGTCTTTCTCCATCCCGCCTTGCACATGTGCGTGCCGGACTGACCCAACTTGATCCCTTGAAGGCCCTGCCCCGGCCCGAGGAAGACCGGTGTAGCGCGTATAGCACTTCAATCCGCACAGCAACTCATCGCAAGCTGCCAGCGCTGCCATGATGCTTGACAGCTTTCTCAGGCGTCCCTTCATGCATGTATGGGTCAAAGAATATACTCACAACGGAACCCTTGCAATGCGATGCTTCAGCCCGACTTCTCTGCATCAGACTGTCTAGTTCTGCCGCGACATACTATCTTTGAGGCAAAGGCTGACGCCGCCGCATGTATCATTCACACGTGCGGGACAACGAGGGCAGCGACCCTCCTTTTGGCCACCCCAGCCCTGGATTGGAAGACTGGGAGCGCTCTGTCATGTACAAAAAAGAGGTAGAGCTAAAGGCACCCCCGTTTTTGCAGAGTGTCACCTCTTGAGCTCTACATCCTACATCCCTCCCTGGGTGCTGATCCGGCCAGACTTACCCCTTGGGAACTCTTCAACCCTAAACCCTAAACCCTAAACCCTAAACCCTAAACCCTAAACCCTAAGCTGCGCACAGGCACGCAGTGTAGGGCCTTGATGAAGCGTGCCAGAGTTTGACACTTCGTCGGCTCCACCTCAGGCAAGTCGCAGGGCAACCAACTCCAATACAGGTTTAGGGTTTAGGGTTTAGGGTTTAGGGTTTAGGGTTTAGGGTTTAGGGTTTAGGGTTTAGGGTTTAGGGTTTAGGGTTTAGGGTTTAGGGTTTAAGGTTTAGGGTTTAGGGTTTAGGGTTTAGGGTTTAGGGTTTGGGGTTCGGGGCTTAGGGTTTAGGATTTGGGGTTTGGGGTTTAGGGTTTAGGGTTTAGGGCACCTCATCAAAGGAGGTATATGCAGGTTATGCTACAAGTGAGCCGGCACGCATTCGATGCAACTACCAATGCAAACTCGCTAGTTGGACAGCGGGTGGGCGGGGGCCAGTTTCAAAACAATGGTTGCCAGGTCGGCCAAGCGGCCATGCTGCCATGCTGCAATCTGATTCACATGAAGATGCCGATTACAAGAAATGCCTGATAAAGCCGTATTGAAACCATGCATGAACCGAACACGACGCCGCACAGCGGATGTTCAGATTCATGCGCGGGTATCCTTCGTTCGTATCACACCCACAGGCTTCGAGAATCCCACACACAAAACTGGTTTCGGTACGGCTGGACAACATCCACTTTCGGCCTTGTCCAGCAGCTCTGAGCAGATCATGTCCTCCGAAACCTTTCACAGACGCTAGCTCTTCCCCTTCTTTCAATCATACTACGAGTAAAACAGTAAAATTGCGATTCCATCGCGATGAAAACAACAAGGATCCTTGAGGGAAGACACCCTGCCTCGCACCCTGTGGGAATGGAGAGGCGCGAGGCCTTCAGAGCAGGCTTTAGGGCTAAAGGTTTCGTTGGTTTAGAGGTTCAATGAGGTTTCGGGGGTTGAGGGATTTATGCGCTTGAGGATGATTGAGGCGACGGTTGAGGGTTCACTGCCCGTTCAGCGCAAGTGACAGGCCGGTATGGGCGCCAAGCGCATCCAAGCACATCCAGTCTGCACCACTGTTCACCCTGTTCTCCCTGTTCTCCCTGTTCTCCCTGTTCTAGATTCTAGGCCTTGGCATCAACGTCACCAACGTCCACGCCACCCTCATGGTAGAAGAAGATCTCATCCTCGCAAGGGGTTGACGGGGGTTGCCCCAGCCTGCGCGTGGCACAGCCACTCAGGCACTAACTCCCACTCCAGGTCTTCTACTGTCACGGGCACCCTCGGTTTCCTCTCGGAAACCCGACTGTTGAGAGTCGATTGCTTTCGCTTCCGCCCGCCGGGTCCTTGTATCTGTGCGACTGCATGCAAACGTAGACCTCACAATGTCCGAGCAGAGGGATACACACACGGCCCCAAGCGGCCACTCTGCAGTAAACTCTCGCAGCATACCTAACAAACACACACACACACACACACACACACACACACACACACACAGAGACAGAGACAGAGACAGAGACAGAGACAGAGACAGAGACAGAGACAGAGACAGAGACAGAGACAGAGACAGAGACAGAGACAGAGAGACAGATGATGGAGCACACATGCAGACATGTAAACACGGATGGGTGGCAGGCTTGGAAGGGAGGGGAGGAGGAGGAGGGCAGGAGAGAGGGAGAGGGGAGAGGGAACAGAGAGAGACAGAGACAGAGACACCGCGTGCAAGCCCGCGCACGCTTCTCAGCGGGCGGACCTCCTCCGACTGCGCATGAGGGACGAAGGGCTCGATCCTGGGCCGTGCTTGGCAGGTCTTGGCGGAATGCGCACATGCAATGATACAGCATGTTAGCATCCAGGTATGGGCTCTTGAAGACGTTGCAACTGTTCCAAGGCCAAGCTTGGCGAGCCACAAGAAGTGAGTGAGCTGCCCAGTGATGCCACCCACCGTGGTCTCCTATCGAGATGTGAGCGTGTCGTGATGTCCATCGTCCACGGATGTGAGGGGGGCGCCTTTGTCGTCTTATGCTACAGGTGACCATCGAGTCGAAAAATGAGTCGAAAGACAGGTGGACCGACTTCGACATTCTCTTCTGCTTTCGACTTGGGTCAGGGGCGTTTCTGACTCCAGGCTTTTGCACTTTCGACTCAGGCGAGGTAACTCAGGAGTAATTTTTCGAAATTGATGGTCTCCCCGCCTTCTGCAGACGTTTTTGAACCAAGCCTGATGGCAAGTTGAAAGGGGAGAAGTGCCCTGCAAAAAAGCCCTGAAGGGCTTAGATGGCCTCGGTGCGCAGGTTTCCGGGCAAGTCCCAACCAAACACTAGGGTACAGCTCTTCCGACTCCAGCCAAAGATGCACACACCTGCGACTGGTTCAAGGTCCTTGCACATCCGCTCCATGATCCAAGCCTGCTAGCAGCAAGCAGCGCAAGCCCAGTTTCTCGTCTTCACTGTCATTCGCTGCCGCAAGCCCTTAACACCATGCCTCAGGTATACCGACAAGACCCCATAGGATCCCAATGGCCTTGACATCGTCGAAAGTCTTGTTCACGGCGATGAGGCCAGCTTTTCCTCGGCCTCCGATCATCTGGTCCGGCTTGGCCACCAGCTTCTCTGTCTTGAGCCAAGGGTTCCTCAATCTTGCGAAGGACGGCAAGAGGTGACTCGTGTCGGCCCAGGGCCCAGGAGACCCGTATCGTAACGTAGAAGGCAAAAGGTTTCCACACCACACAAGGCTGCGGAACAGCTCCAACTGCTTCAGGAATCCTTTGGAATCGAGAGCGACCCTGTCCCCCAAAAGAAGCCGGCCCCCTTGAGCCCAAGTTGCTTCTCCAGGATGGCATTCCAATCATCACCCTTGGAGCTGTCCAGCACCTCGGCACCCCCCCCCCCCCCTAAAGCACGAAAAAACGCATCAACACACACACACACACACAGAGACAGACAAAGACACACATATGCATATACATATATATATATATATATAAAGAATAATATGTATATATATATATATATATGACGTATATTTATTGTATATGTATTTATTTACTTCTATATTTTTGTATATGAGATTCCGTGCACAGCTTGCCCATGTGACCCAAGTCCGGTACACCCGGAGAGACGATGCAACCAGCGTTGTCAAGTCCAAAGGCATTGTTGGAGTACCTGGACGTATGCTCCGTACACTGGCGAACTTTCCTTAGGGGTACCTTATTGGGATCCTATTTGTAAGGGAACCCTAGTACTTGGGGATTGTTTCGTAAACCTCCATATTTCTTGAAGCCAAGGAGAGCAGCAACTTCATCTGTTTGGGGATGAATGGGCCGGCTAAGGATGGCAGGGCTACTTCCGGCACACTTCCGAGCAGGATATACAGTAGCAGAACTTCACAAGGGAAACCTAAAAGGAAACCTAAAAGGAAACCCAAAAGCAAGCCCAAAAGCAAGCCCAAAAGGAAGCCCAAAACGAAGCCCAAAAGGAAACCCAAAAGGGAGCCCAAGATGGGGAACCTAGAACTGAACCAAGCCCAAGTTGGTCTTAGCTCCGGAGCACTCGGGAAGCCAGCGCTTGAGCAGCGCCTCGCGAAGGCAGATGCAGTAATGGATTCCTTAGGGTTTAGGGTTTAGGGTTTAGGGTTTAGGGTTTAGGGTTTAGGGTTTAGGGTTTAGGGTTTAGGGTTTAGGTCTAGGGTTTAGGGGTTTAGGGTTTAGCAGCCCAGAACCAGGAGTCGCCACTTGCGGAAGCACACAACAAGCAGTGGGCCTTTCCATCCTGCTCGCGGATGGATTTCACCGACATGACCTCGGGCAGCAACCGAACATGGGATTGGGCCTGACCGGGGCCCAATGTTGAGAGGCACCTGACTCTGAGGTCGCGCGGGCGCCGCCGCCCGCTTGGGTCTCAAGGCTAACAGCTGCGGAGAGGGCCCACAGGCAGGTTGATAAAGTTCATGAAAACACAAGCCCGAAAGCCGTCTCACTTATGATGCTTAGGGTTCGGAATGGGAACTCGCCTGGATCTAAAGAAGCGATGTTGGTTTTCATCGACCACGGCCTGCTTGTCTACATGATCCTTTCTGGCGTCTCCGTGCTCCTCTGGCAGGAACATGGCAGCATGAGAAGAACCTGAGAAAAACCTTATCCAGCTCGAAGAGGTGGCGCTCACCTGGAACAGTCACGCAGTGCAACATGTTGGAGCATCCCCACTATCGAGGAGTTTCTCTTCTGGCATCGAGTCGGCAGTATAAATCCGTCAGTAAAAGTGTCCTAGGACAGGTTCTTCCCTCTCGATCGGCCCACCTTAAATCACCTCTCCTTATCTATCTGGAATGCCGCGGGCTTCCCTGCATCTTTACGGACGTGTACCAGAAATATTGAAACCAAACTCCATAGGAAAGCCTGGGCTTCCTGTCGCGTCGCATGTCCCCCATCAACGAACCCAAAGGTTGCCTGGCAAATAGATGCCAAATGGACTTATGAAGCTCAAGTGCGACACCTTGCGGCAACGCCGCCAGCCCCCAGGCCGTGGCTGCGGCTAGACTCCAAGGGCCTCCACAGCGCTGGACATGAAAAAGCTCTTGGGAAAGGCCTTTTGAGAGAGTTGGACCAACCAAACAGTGATGTTTACTGGACGTTGGCAAGGGACTCCGGTGGATGCTTTGCAGCTCGAGCTCGTGCTTCGGCTCCAGCAATGCTTCGGCATTCAGGGAACTTCGGATGCGTGGACGCCGGTCAGCTAACCACCTGCAGAGGCCGACTGCACTCCTGCTGGGCAATTCCGGCAGGCTGTGGAAATGCGTCCCCAAAAACCGTGGGCCTCGGCTGGTGTGGGGTGTGACGGCGGCACCGTGTGCGTTGGTGCATCGAAGCGTTGCGAAGCATCAGCATGCAGGCCGAGATTGAGCGCGTCGGAAACCTCCAGCATCATTTCGACCATTTCGGCGTCTTCCACCATGACAAATTGCAGACTGCGAGTACGGATGCTCACTATACAGGCAGCCTAGGTTCTTCACATTACACGCCACCACTTCCATGTTCTTCACCTTTCGGATGTAGTGAGCAACTCCTCCTCTGTACACGATAGAGGTTCTCGGTTCAAAGGGGCCCCGAATCGCCAAGGGAACGCAGGCATGGACGAGTCATTCCAAAGCGAGCCAGGTCAGTGTAGCTCTGCCGCCGGACATCCTCGTGAGGAAGGAGAACACTTTCGCATCTTCCCCAGAAGGTCCAGAGTCATCAATGCTCATCGACGCTCTTCGATGCTCTTCGATGCTCTTCAATGCTCTTCAATGCTCAAGAGCCACCACGACAAACTCCTCCGGCGTCCTCACATGTGGGAACTCTCAACGGAACCATGGACTGTGTTGAGGCATCACGGGAGGCACCAGCATCTCCCTGCAGCAAACCTCAGTCCTGGGCAGCTTCTCGACTGGCCCCCGGTATCCATGCTCACCGCGGTCCAGGGGCCAAGCAGAGAAGAGCTCCTTCAAATCTTTAGGGCAGCAGCTTCAAGGGCGAGAATGGCCAACAGCTTCTGGGGTTCAGCACTTGCACCGTAGAATCAGGATTGCGGGGTCTGCACAGGGCTTGGCCACAGCACACAGTTCTACACTCGCCTGCATTCATCTGTTCATGTCTCTAGGGTAGCTACAGATCTTGCAGGTCTAATCGTTTCATCGTGGCAGGAAGCGAAAGTCCCGAAGAACCTTCAGCATCGACGACAACCTCTTCATCCCGTTCTTGAGACCAAGGTACGGCGTTCTGCTTGAAGCGGCACAACACCCGGAAGCCAGCACCTGCCAAGGAAGCGGCTTGCTTTCGTGTTCTTGCGCGGCAAATAGCCTGGACCTACCTGGACCTTCCGCACAGGATGGGGATGGAAGCTGAGCCCAACATGCCAATAACATAAGAAGATGTACAGGTGTAATAATATGATGATCGGATTAGGAAACAATCCCATAAACAAGTGGTGTAACCAAATATATATATATATATTTGTTTATTTATTTATTTTTTTATATTTATTTTTATTTTTATTTATATTTATATTTATATTTGTATTTATATTCATATTTATATTTATATTTATTTTTATATTTATATTTATATGTTAATACAATACCTCGCAAAACAAGCACGAAACCCGTCGCCTGACAGGCCGGCCAGGTTCTCGAAGACCCGAGTGGGGCCCAGGAGAAGGGGGGAGGCGCCTGTGGAAGCTGCGAAGTCCTTGGGTTGGTGCCCAAAACATCCCGAAACCCACGAGGTCGCAGCATGCCATGTGAAGAAGTTTGCAAAAAACAAGTCAGTGTCAACCTCTCATGTCAATGCAAAAAGAGTAGCCCTTAGAAGCTCCAGGGACGCGACAAGGTTGGCTTCCAAAGGGCACCAGAGCCTCCAACTCGGCCCCTCCTGGATCGGATGGCCAAGAAGCTCACAGCCCGTCGCCTCACGGTTTCTAGCAGCGTTGAGAGGCTCTTTGGGCTCAGGAGCGTCCGGCTCTCCTATGAGGCACCGCTCCAGCCGGCGAAGGGCCGAGGTCTGAAGTTGCAGGGACTTCGGCCGCTGCTGCTGCAGTTGTTGTGCCAGGGACAGGCACTTTCGAAAGCGATCTGCCCGCGGCACCACCACGCCCAAGCCGCCCTGCGTGCTCGTGTGCTGCACTGGACCGCCCCACACGGCCTTTTTCTCAGCCTTCTGTTTTGCCTTCTCCTCATGCTCCTCGAAAAGCGCCAAGTCGCAGCGAGGTCCGTGGGCATGGGACCCAGTGGTCTTGCACCGGTGGCAGCAGTGGCCGGAAAGCCAGGTGCAAAGATATGGGCAGCCGGCAGTGCCGCACTTGGCTGGGTCGGCAGTGGGGGCACCGGCAAAGAGCCTGAACTCCGGACAGCGGTGTTGAATGATTCTCTCCAGGAGCCGCAGATCCGCCTCGTCGCTGAAGCGCCAGCCATCATGGCTGCCCAGGCAGCGCAGCTCGTGCACGTAGAGCTCCTGCAGATCAACCTTGCGCTGCATCAGAAGCCGTTCCTGGGGTTTGTCCTCTGAAGCTGTTGTCGCTTTCGTCAAGACCTTCACGACGAGCAGCCGAAAACGCAAGGTAGAGTGTCGGGCGAGCTCTTCGAAGAGCTCCAGCACGGCTGTGTCCTGGAGCTCTACACGTCGCTCGAGGTTGAATAGTAGGAACAGTACAAAGTCTTGATCGGAGATGCACTGGAGATGTCTAGGTGTCCAGCCTTTCAGCAGTTGCTGAAAGGAGTGTACACAGGAGATAAGGAAGTCGTAGTCGGCGGGGATCATTGGATTGTGATGGTTGAAGATCACATCTCTTTGCAACATCGGCGAGTAAATCTTGTGGCCTGCTTTCTTGCACCTGCACCAGCTTCTTTTACTGCTGGTCCAAACTTGCAGAGGCCTACTGCACATTGCTTGTGAGGCAGCTCAGCATGCTTCAGCCCCGCGCGCAGTTGCCACGTAGCACGCCGGATCGAGGAAGGACGTGAAACCGTCCTTGGAAAACTTCGTATCCCCACTCTTTTTTGGCAGGAGACCAGCGAAAACCGTGCGAAAACACACAAAGGTCCTGGAGGCAGTGGGTGACCATTTCGGGTGCAGAGAAAACCCAGTCAAACGGCCCGGGCCATCGCCGCAAGCCCAGGTGTTCCATAGCCTCGCAGTTAGTCAGCTAACAAAACTTGATTGGGCTAACTTGCAGCTGCTCTGCAAGCCATAGCAGGAGTCAGAGTCCAGTTGTTGAAAGCTTCTCAGGCAAGTGGAAGGCACCACACGACACCGGAAATAGAACCATCACAAGAGCCCCAGACTCGCCAAAAGCCACTCCATCGTCATGGGCATGGTGTCAACCCCCCCCCCCCCCCAATGTTTATCCCCCCATCTCTGCGGCTATGTGTGTCGGTGGGCTTGTTCGCAAGTTCGAGGCCGGTCGTGCGCAAGAAAAAGGAAGCAAAGTAAAGCGGATGAAGGCACAGGGAAGCAAAGCAAAACGAAGCCACCCACGGTTCAGAGTCAGATCAATCCCGCCTGTGCCGTCATGCAGAGGCTGCCCAGGGAAGCCACGTGCCTTGCCACGCCAGAGCCACGGGAGCCGTTGTCCTCCAAAGACTCCTCCCCAAGCAAGAAGGCCACCAGAAGAGAGACATTTCCACACCTCGGAGCACAGGCCGTGGACTGCATGGGAGTCTGGATTAACCCGCTTCTGCCCAAGAGCTGGAACATCGTCGCGGCGCCCAACGAAGGCCAGCGGCACTGCGGCCAGCGCAGGGCCAGATGTCTCCTGCTCGGGCGAGATTCGCACGCTGGGCCAGAAGCTGGTGATAATAATAATACTTATTAATAATATTATTATTACTATGATTATTAACAATAAGACTACTACTAATACTAATAGTAACAACAATAAGTCACAGCAAGGCTTCACAGTTGGGGGCTCCCTAAGGCCACACCGAACGCCGCGGCCATGGAGGAGGTCAGACCCAGATGCCGCCACTCCTCACCTGATCGAACTGCTCTCGATATGCTGCGAATCTTGTCACAAGCTCTTCAACAGGGTCCTGAACAAGTCGGGCTCTGAATGGCAAACTCACATCCAGTTACTGGAGGGGGGGGCCTTCAGCAGGCTCCTCCACGCTGTGCCGCAGAAGGCATGGGCTTGCCCCTTCGATCAACTCCTGGACTAAGACTGAGTTGAACTCTTGGGTCTGGCAAATTCGTTGCAATGGCCTATCCTGAATGACCTGCAGGACGACGCCTCGCAAGGCACCGGCGGTTGGGTGCGCCTGTCAGGGCTCACGAACCTCTCAACACCACCACCATAGCTCTGAACCTCGTAAACTCTGAAATCCTAAGCCCTGAATCCCTGAAATCCAACAAGCTTAAGTTTGTGACTCCAAGGACCTCTGGAAGCGCACTGCCCGGCTGCAATGCAGGGCGCTCCTTCCGGAAACTGATTTGAGGTGGAGTATCAGAAGTGGGCTCTAGTGTAAGAGTAGGGTCTGTGCCTTCCCACAGCTCAGTTGTTTCCGGCGGCTACGAAGCTCCGAGCAAAGAGTGTTCTGCTGACGTGCTCGTTCATGTCAAAGCCACCCCACAAACTTCAACGCCGTACTCGCAGTAGCGAGCAAGGTAGCACTGGGCACCGCTGGCCATTGCAGGCACTGCTCAAGATTCAAGATGTCCGCGGAGTCGTCGCAGCCATCTCCAGGTCTGGCGGTTGCAGCAAGCGCACGATCCTCCTCCGGCGGAGATGAGACGCAAGCTGCAGGGGAGTTTTGCCCGTTATGTTGGGCAGCTGCGCATCCGCACCGGCCTCGAGTAGCAGGCGCAGCGCTTCGAACTGGTCATGCTTGGTTGCTACCCAAATGGGCGTGGTGCGGTTGTTGTTGCAGAGGTTCTTGTCGGCATTGGCCTTTAGAAGCAAGCGGACGGCTTTGGCTTGGCCCATCTTCGCCGCCACCCAGATTGGCGTGTTGCCTTGCTCATCGCCATGGTCCTTGTCAGCTCCAGCCTGAGCACCCACATATGTACCACATGGACTGAACGGACTTAGGGTGCTTTGATCCACTTGCCCCAAGGTTTGCTGAAAACTCTCATGTACATGCTTAGCTGCTTCAATGCCGAATCACCCTGCCTCCAGCAGCAGCCGCACAATGTCGAGATGCCCACGGGAGGAGGCCTCCCAAAGAGCAGTTCTGCCGTTCTGGTTCTCAAGGTTTGCATCTGCTTGGGCTGCCAGAAGAAGGCGCGCCACTCCGATCCGGTTGCATGTACATGCAATGTTGAATGGTGTCCTGCCCGATCGATTTGCCTGGTCTTTGCTGGCATCGGCCTGCAACAACAGCCGCGCGACTTCAGAGTGGCCGTGCTTCGCTGCAACCCAGAGTGGCGTCGTGCGATTCCTGTTGCTGCGATCCTTGTCGGCCGAAGATTGCAGCAGCAAGCGCACGATCTCCATGTGGCCACCCCTGGATGCCACCCATAAGGGTGTCTTGCAGCTGCGGTCACTCTGGTCCCGCTGCGCACCAGCATCCAGCAGCAAGCGCGCGACATGCACGTGCCCCTGCAGGCACGCCATGTAAAGCGGTGTCCTGCCAGTGCTTTCGAGCTCGTAGCGATCATACTCATCATCCTCTCCATCCGAGATATGCACATCCGGCTGGTCGATGTTGGCGCGCGCCTCCAAAAGCATCCGCACGATCTCCGCAGACCCATGGCGTGCTGCCTCCCACAACGGCCCTCCCCTCTCCATGGCCGCCTTGTTTGCGCATGAGCCAGCCTCCAGGAGCAAGCGCACCATGTCCACGGCCGTCGCATGCCAGCTCGAATAACGGCAGGCCTGTAGAATCGGCCTGTCGAAGCCATCCACATCCGACTGGTCCGGATCCTCGGGTCTCTGCAGGCACTCCTCGAGCGCATACATGTCGTCCGTCTCCACGGCGTCCATGATCGCCCCCGAAGGTTCTAACCATCCCAACAGAACAAGCTGCAGGTCCAGGGGCGACTGCAACTCCGAAGCATCCTCCAAGCCGGCGCCATTGTGCAACAGCCTCTGCCTGAATCGTGGGACTCCACACGCGCCCTGAAGGTGCTGCTTTAGAGCACGCACTGTGGTCAACGACTCCACAGGTACGGCGCTCACCTCTTCGCCGGAAACGCTCCAGACGCGCAGCATGAGGAAGTGAATCGGAAACGGATCGGCTAAGCCGCTAACGATCTAAGCCTGTGCACAGGAAGTCTCGGGAGGGAACATGTGGGAGGCTGGAACATTAAGCATGAGAGACGTTTTGATTTTAAGCTTCAACGCTTGAGGCGACAAACACGGAAGCTTTAAAGGCACCCAACCCCATGCCAGAACCAGAAACAAGTCCTCCAAATTGGCGCTGACGATTGTGCGACTGTGACCAGGGCCAGGAAAGCGTACAGATGAGACCAGTGGCGTTACAAATGGACGTGTCCTGCAGTACATTTTCATCTCGCTGCCAGGGATCTGGCAAACGCTTTCGCTCCAGCTTGCCTTGAGAGGCACGCGCCCAATTGTCAACTTCTACATCTACGGTTTACGCTGAGCCAAGTCAACTGGCTTTGGGCAATCTTTTGCGGGCACGTTGATCGAACATGGTCCCTGTGTGCTGAAGATATCAATGCCAAGGGTCCGTTGAGGGTCATGGGCAAGTCGTTCAAGACAACAGTCTTCTGCGGCCACCTTTCAAGCTCAATACCGACCTTATGATTGACCAACACAGCTGCCTTCTTTTGTCTTACCTGCTCCTTACTCCCAGCACAAAGCAGCAACCGATATATGAGCATTTCCCAAAATTCGGGCACCCCTTTCTACCCCAAATAGATCAGAATCCCCTTAAAGGGACCCGCAACACAAAGGGTTCCCCCTAATTTCGGAAACCCCCACATGTACTCCGGCAACTGCTCGCGCAAGTGCTTGTGCAACTCAAGGTCATGGCCACCACAGCCTGCACAAGCATCATGCGATGGGGGCTCAGCGGAGGCTTCCCAAAAATTGGGGGGTTGGAGTTGGGTTTGAGGTAGGGTTTAGGGTTTGAGGGTTTGGGGTTTAGGGTTTAGGGTCTGAGGTTTTGCGGCTCAGGCACTCTGCGGGTCGGGCGCATATCGGGCTGACTATAGGGCACTCGGCGCGAAGAGGTGCTCAGCGGCTTTCCACGCCTTCCCGCCAGACCACGTAGGCAACAAGAACAGGCTGGCCGAGACGGTTCCTCCTGAGGCGGCATGTATAATAATTACATAAGAATAGAAGCCTATCACAATATAGTAATATAGCAATACATCAATACATAATGTTGATGTAAAATCAAATAAAAGACTAATATAGTCATATAGCGAGATACGAATATATCGATATACCGATGTCATCATGCAATAAAAAAGCATGACATAGTGAAAAAGCGATATCACAGCAAAAACACAAGAAGATAACAGCATAGTGATATATTAATATTAAAATGTAATGTGATAATATAACAATACAATACTGAAGTACTACTAAAAATATCATAATATAGTGTGACAATAGACTGACACAACCATATAATAATAGAACGATATAAAACTGACTATATATGTATATACGTATCTATGTATATATATGTTAGTCTATGATTTTTTGAATACAAAACAAGTTATATCATCATGCATAGTATAGTAGTACAATAATATAGCACTACAATTCCCGCTCAGAGGCCTCAGGTTGATCCCTCAAGGCACCCGATGCACCACCTGCACAGAACCCAGTCAAGCCGTCCTCACGTCAGAGGCGCCGAGCTCGACTTCGGGGCAGCAGGCCAGGGCAGCATCGATTTCGCCTCTGAGGGTTTAGGGTTTAGGGTTTAGGGTTTAGGGTTTAGGGTTTAGGGTTTAGGGTTCAGGGATTAGGGTTTAGGGTTCAGGGCTTAGGCTTTCGGGTTCACATCTCGGCTCTGGACGGGAGGTTGGTACAGCTTCCCTCCTTTGGCTCTTCTTGAAAGCTTCATGAATCTGTGAGCCTGAGGACACAGAATACCTCACCTCAGACCTCTAAGCACGCGAAAGTCCCCATGCTCTCTCCGCCGCTGCGTGGCGAAGCTCGATACGAAAGCCATTGACCTTGACCTGCTCGTCCATCCTTGCAGGAGCTAGGCATGCGGACTTGCCAGCGGAGGCGTGCTGAGGTTTGTTGGGATTCTGGAACGGGCAGTTTGAGATGATTCGCAACAGCTACTGTGGAACAGGAATGAATTCGTTTAAGGACACCTGACAGAAAACGACGGTGAGTGATTCTGGCAGCCGTGTGGTGCACGTTATTCAGGCCTCCCAAGGCAGTAGACGTTGCCGTTGTCGTCCGTTCGCACCAGATCTCCTTGGCGAGAAAAAGCTGAGGAGGCCTTGAGAACTCGTTAAAGCTACTAAGTTTCAAGGCCACTTGATCACTTCTCCTCCGAACCTTTTATTGGCGGTGACGCAGGGTGAGCCATTTTCGGAATGTCAGGCTGTTTGAGCTACCGAGGTCATGAATCCAGTGAGAAAACTTTTCCAGGCAAGGCTCCAGTGAAGAACTCCTTGCAACTGGCAGAGAGCTTGAAGCGTTCTTGGGTCAGCTGAGCCTTTTTCCAATACCTGGTTTGGCCGAGAAGTCATGCTACGATGACCAGGTGGTAACATCGTGTCTGACGTTGCTCTTAAGGTGCGGAGCTGACAAGCACTGCCAACAGGCTACTGAATCTCATGTGCCAAAATGGGTACATTGCTAGTACATGCCATCCAAACTGGCAACTTCTGCAAGAACATGACACAGCATACCACCCAAAATCAGTGGCCATCTCCAGGCATGCAATCAAAACAGCTACTGCAATCGCCACAATGCCAATTCAGGATTGCAAACTGCCGACTGCCCGCGCTGTTCGCTGTGAGGTATGAGCATGCAGCAAACTTCCGTGCTTGCTTGCACGCACGCAAAGCGGTACGTGACACTATAAGCAACACATGCCATCGCACAAAACCCGAATGATACTAGTCTTAACTTCCACGCAGCTGTCAAAATACGATCACAGCCACTACTGGGCAAGCTGTTGCGTTAGGGTACCGTTTATGGGTCCATCTTATCGTGACCCCCAAATCTTTAAACAATGAAGGTCCCTATGAGTGGGTCTATGGCCCCCCTCCCACCCCCTTCTCTCCATGTGAACTGCGGATAAATCCAGCCGCGAGGCCCCAGGCTTACTCCAGCGCCTCCTAACCGTTGAGAGGGTTTAGGGACTTGGGGTTTTTTGGTTGTTCGGGCTTTTTGGGGTTTCGGGAGCACGCACTCCAAGGCAACGGAAGAATGCGCACTAGCACTGCAGGGTCGACACCCAGCAAAGAATGGCCTTGCCTATGACGAGCTCCCCAGTGGCGGCATCCTGCGCGCCATTGAACTCATCCTTCTGGAGGCGCTCCTTCGCGTCTTCTGAGCCCATTGCTCTGCAGGTTTACCAAGGTGACGTGTGGACGTGCGCGCCGAAAAAAGCCATACAAGCTCTTCGGCCGGGATGCGCAGGACAGCCGTAGAGTCGTCTCGCTGATTGGGGGCCCGATTGGCACCTGCAGAGTTTCGGGTTTAGGGTTTAGGGTTTAGGGTGTAGAGTTTTGGGGGTATGGTTTAGGGTTTGAGTTTGGATGTTTCTCTTGTGCATCTCAGGCGGAGTGCCCTCACCATTGGGTTTTTTGCGCCTCTCAAACCATTTGCATGGGGAAGGTACCCTGAGAATCAGTGAGAATCAGGGGCTTTTTAGCGAGAGGCCGACATACCAACAGAACGCAGAGCCTTGACTCGACCGCCCCTGACCCGACCTCACAACGAGATTCTTAAGCCAACGCTTGCAACACTCTACACAGCACACAACGGAAAACTGAGAGGCCTTTCTGGCTGTTAAAGGAGCTTTTGGGCTTACGTAACCAGTCAAGGCTCAAAAGGCTTGAATTGAGGGAATTGATGCGCCCAGGCGCCGAAGCAGCCGGCTGGTCGACGCGCTGCGCAGTTGACCAGATGGTGGTCTCTGTGGGACCGTACCTGAGGACACTCAGAAGCTCCCTTCCCACTGAAGCTGGCCGTCTACCAAGTCTAGCAAGTGTTGAGAGAAGCTGCACATTGTAGAGGTACACATCGGCGCCGAGCTCGCTGAGCCATGGGGGGAAGGGCTCGCCTCCGCAAAGCAGCGTGGCCCCTTTGGGAGGTGTCCAGCCACAAGACCTGGAAAACAGCAAAGAACTGCTTCGAGCTGCGCGCGAGGAAGGTCGGATGAAGTAACGTCCACACTTGGCAGCACATGGCAAATGCCATCCCGGCGCCCCTGCGGCGCCTGAGGAGGCCGTAGCTGCTGGGTGTAGCCTGGAAAGCCAGCCTGCAATCAGGGAAACACCCGGTACCCTTGCCACTGGTGAACACACCAAGGAAGAAGGGCTGCTGCTTTTGGTCCCCGATGTGCTAAAGCAGCTAAGGAACGGGGAATGAGGAGAGTTGAAAGGACCCCGTGTGGCCTCGGATACTTGGCCAGACGGGCTTTCAGCTCTGGACCCTGCTTGGAGATCTGCGCATCCACGATGTCCAGCCTCACATAGAGGACAAAAGCTCCAACCCACCCCCAAAAACTCCCCCCCCGGCCATGCCCTCAGCTCAGGACAAGGATGCAAGAGACTCCTGCCACCAAGGTCCGATAGCCTTTCTGCATGCAAGCCACAAGCAGTTGCACATCAAAGGAAGGAGGAGCTCAAGAAGCGCGATGTCAAAGCAGAAGGTGGTCACGGCCACCCAGACGCAGCCCTCCAGGTGCTTGCCCAGGAGCTTCAAGAAGGAGGAGAGCAAGTTGTGCCTTGGGCTCACAAGCATTTCAACAAAAAAATCATACAAAAATCATGAAATTTAAGTTTTGTCATAATTTATTCTAATTTGTTTTGTTTTGTTGTCTTTGCGTTGCATCACCATTTTATTTGTTTGTTTTTTTTTATGTGTGGTATTTGGATTTTTGGGAGGTTGAGCAGGCAAAAAGTCAAAAAAAATCTGCCAAAAAAACCGACGGTTGTTGTGTTTGTAGCGACTTTTTTTGTGATGTATTCAACAGTGATAAATCAAATTTGTTGACGTGCAACTCTACGTCCCAAAACCCCCATTTTACTAGAAAGGGTCGCATTCGCACAGGGCCGAGGTGCAAGTTCGGCCGCGAGACGAGCACTCCCTTGGGCTTCCCCGTGCTGCCGCTGGTGTAGATGCAATAGGCGGCCGCGGCTGGGACTTCCTCCCCTTCCCAGTGAGGCCCAGTCTTCGTGGTCTCCTGGCACTGTCCACTTCGGTCGAGAACCAGGATCTGTCGGCAAGAGCCCCAGAGCTCCGGGTGCTGAGACACCACCGTCTCCTCCAACAGCAAAGCCCCAGGGCAAGCGTCTTCCAAAATGTAGGCCAGGCGCTTCGCGGGAAAGCCCGGATCAAGGGGGATGAAGACTTTTCTGCACCGAAGGCTGGCCAGCAAGGAGACCACCAGTGCGAAGGTCCTGTGCACGCAGATCCCGAGGAACCCAGGCAGGTCTTCCAGGCGCGCCGAGAGCGCGACCACCCGGCTTGTGAGCTCTGCAAAGGTCAGGACATCGATGTGCTGCAGCACTGCCGGCTTCTCATCAGCTTTAAGCGCCAGCTTCAAGAGCTGCTCAAGGCCATCTTCTCCGCATTCCTCACCCTCCATGGTGTCCAGGGCCACAAGATCGCGCAAAAGGCAGCGGCCAAGCCTGGAGCCCTGGTGCCATGGCACATGGCGTGCTCGGTGAGAGCTTCGGAATTGTCTGCGTTTATGTGATGATGGACAGCTGTTTGTGAAACGGACACGGAACACCCTGAAGGCCGAGAACTTCGCCAAACCGACGACCCAAAGAGATCCGAAGTTCTGACTGAGGTGTATCAGCAGACTACACGCCCGAAACCTTGAGGATCTGAGACCGAAACGCACGATGCAGCAAGGCCCTCACAGCTCCGGGAAACTAGAGGGGGTGGGGGGAAGCTCGGCACCGATGCTGCCACGCGCTGCAGCATAGGCAGAAAGCCTTGGGATGGGGGGGTGAGGGTTCGGGTTCAGGGTGTAGGGTGTAGTCGGGTTTGTGATTCAGGGTTTAGGGTTTAGGGTTTAGGGTTTAGGGTTTAAGGTTTAGGGTTTAGGGTTTAGGGTTTAGGGTAGGGGATACCCATGGGGGCTCCCAGGAATTTTACCGACCCCAACAGGTGCTCTGCCAGAGGACGTGATAGGATGACTCTTACTATGAAAACATATAGTCACTGTAGGAAAGCCACTTCTCGGCTGGCTGAGAGTGGTGGCAGTGGGGCACAATGGTAACAAAACCGCATTCGTTTGCGTTGGGCATCTCCCAAGGTATATCTCCATTAGACTGAGCCATGAAGGCACGAGGGGATGCCCCCGCGCACCAAAGCTCCTCTCCCAGAGGCAGAGCTGCATGCATGAAGCTGCTTGAGCTTAGGATGTAAGACCCCGGTGTGATTTCTTCACGGCCACAGGCCTCAAGCACCTTCATAGCCCGAAGCCTCCCACACGCGCGTTACGTGCCGATCTCTCGGGGTCAGCCTGCCATGCTTCTCAGGAAAATATACCTGTGAAGACGAAAACCCTACAAATCTATAAGACCTAACTAAACCTTGGATGCACCCGGTTCCCCTGTGCTGGTGAAGGCATGGCTGCACGTGCCATCTTTTGAATCATGTGATGTCCACTCATAGGGCTACTCATAGGGCTTGCTGGGTTTGTTGGATTTAGGGCCTTTAGGAAGATCAGAGTTTAGAGGAATCAGGCCCTCGCCGGCCAAGCCTGTCCCGATTAGAGGTGACGACCATGGGTGCCTGCGCTCTGCATCCTCATCGCAAACTTCGGTTTTTCTGCGTGTCCATGGCACGTGGCAGTGCAAGTGTCGTTTGACGTTGAAGATGTATTCATCATTGTGTTAGCTTTCTCTTAACTCAGCTTCGCTACTTCGCCTTCAAACAAAGAAACACCTCCGATCCCTCAAGCCAATAAAGCAGGCCCCCAAGGTTTCAAGACTTCGAACCCCGTCTCGGAAGCCGGCGTGACCCTGGAGGAGGTCACGGTGGGCTTGCGGGCGCCTGCCTGAGGCCACAGGGCTTAGGTTCCACAGGGTTTATTTTCTTGGCTTCGGAGTTGAAAGGGTTTGGTAGGGTTTGGGTTGAACTCGCCGTTTGCGGCCAAGGTGTTGAAACTGAGGTGGTTCTGGGCGCATGGATGTAGCAAAAGCAGCGCAAGGCACGATAGCCTGACAACACTGAGGTTGTCGGCGGCTCTTGTTTTGATGGTCCAAAGACAGAAAGACACGAAGGATGTATTGGGGCTTCATGTGTTGCTGGATCTGCACCACGTCAGAAAGGTGCGGCAAAGGAGTTGCAAAACCAGCAATCACAACCAGGGCGATCAGTCTACCCAGATGCTGCCTGCCTAGGGGTTACAGATCAAGTGTTCTTCGTGTCAGCGGCACCTACCCAGACATGACGAGACTTCCTTTCTTGGTATAAAACAAAGCGAGTTGAGATCCAAGGGGGAATGCCAAGAGAGGCTCCGGAGATGCTCGGATGCGCAGTTTCGTGCAAATTTTATTTCAAATGGTTTTTTGTTTGATTGTTTTTGTTTATTTTTTGTGGCAGTTTGTCAACAAGACGGCTGGCAACGTGAAGTCATTGGGCCCTAGGCCTGAAGGCCCTCGCATGGGAACCCACTCTTTTCGTGAAGCCCACCTTAAACATCATAAATCATGAAACTTTCACACTGGAAGCCACAAAGAATAGAAATGAAACAAGACCTTCGTTGCACATTGCAACAGCCTTGGGCACCGAGATCTTCGGGTAGCCCGGCGGGGGCTGTGCCGGCTCCCGTGGGCCTCCGGCACAAAAAAAGCAACAGAACCTCCGCAACGAACGTGGCTTTCCGCTCCCGGGCAGCACTCACCCACGCACTGCAAAGAAACAGGATGGACGAATTGCGAGCTTCAAACCATTTCAAACCCTAAGACCGCTTCAGAGCGAAAGATGCAGGGGCGTCTCTCTTTCTGCACGAAAGGCTCATCGGTTCTGGGCGTGGCGGCCCAACCTTGGGGCAACCACGGATGGCACAGGGGGCCTACATGTGAGCATGGCACTTGCGGCTGAAGTGTCACAAAAGTGTCGCAAGAGGCCTCGGATGGCGGGCATCCTGGGGCGAGGGCCAGAGATCGCTGCCTTCGCCAGCACGGATGCACGTGACCTGCGAAATCAGCAACATTGGAAGCTCAAACGATCACAAAGTAGATCAGCGGAGTCTGCGCCTGGGTGCTTGCCGCCCGCCGCGCGTGAATCTGCCGATCCATCTCGGCCTTCAGCACCCGAAACTCCTTGAGGACCTGCACATCTCCGAGGTCACATCTCTAATTTCGGTGAGCTATGCCGCCCCGTGCGAGTTTGGCGCGCAAAGTGTGCAGCGCTGGAACCACGGAATGAGAAAGTCTCTTCCCGTCAAGCGAATGCAAAAAAAATGCATGTGATGGAGACTTCGAGAGGGTAATGGGATGGTGTCGCGATGGAAGGATGGAAGGTAGCATATTCGCACATGATGCTCGAGAACGTGCAAGATAAACAGCCATGCTGCAACGCCTCACTCTCCATGTCCTCAGGCTCCTCAGACAAATAGACACACACACACACACACACACACTTTTGCAAAGCACCTAGTAGCACAGAGGACAACTTAGCTCCCGACGAAATGTGCCACACAGGCCAGCCACTTGACCTCACGACACTGCCGGGTGCACGAGCTTTATGGGCTAAGGCCTGGGAGCTCAAGGCATGAAAGAAGAGACATACCTCAAGAGTCTTAGGAATCAGGAGTTTCGCAGTTTCGGGTTTAGGGCCCATCACAGAACTCTCACCCCCAAGAATCCGGAGACCTCCGAAGAGCCAAGCGCATCTCAGCCACCGCGCTCCTCTCCTGATCTGCTTCCTGACAACAGCCAGGCCAAATTGCTTCGGCTTGAGAAAAGACTATCTCGAGAATCCCCCACAAGGGTGTCGACCCGCTGGGTTACTCCCGTTCCGTTGCATGGGTGGCCCTGAAAGGGCCCGGTTTCGTGCAACCCTTGGGCCGATGGGGCCAATACCTCGGGGGCTGCAGGGCTCTCCAAGCCGCTGCAAACCCCAAAAAGAAGGTCACCCTGGAAGCCCGCCTTAACCCTCAAATCTCAAAAGAGCTTTTGCCCTTGTTTGAAGGATGAGTTTGGCGACCCCGTCCAAGCCCTGTTATCAATGGCAGCCCCTTTGAACCACAATACAGACACAAAGAAAGCTTTACATGGATGACTCCTAAGGAGGCTGGGCCCTCAACCAAAACCCCTTCAAACCCTTAAACCTCAAACTTTCCAACCCTCAAACCCTCAAACCCCCCAAGTCTCACACCAAACCCTCAACCCCTGAACCTGCCTGCCAAACAAACCCTCAAACCCTCAACCCCCCTAAGAAACTCTCAAACCTCAAGAAACCCTCAAATCCCGAAGAAGCCCTCAACCCCCCTAAGAAGCCCTCAAACCCCTAAGCCCTCAGAAACCCTGAAACACCTAAGAAGCCCCTCAAAACCCCCCCCCCACCACCCCAAAGACCCCTAAACCCTAAACCCTAGTCCCTAAACCCTAAACCCTAAACCCTAAACCCTAAACCCTAAACCCTAAACCCTAACCCCCCCCCCCCCCCCCCCCCACCCAAAGACTCCAGCCCCAAACCTCCCGCACTCCAGGCCTGGAGGATGGCCTTTTCAAGGCGGGCCTGGCTGGGAGAGGGGGGTCCTTGGTGCTTGCCTTTGGGGGTTTTGAGGATTACGGGTTTTGGGGGTTTGGGGGTTTTGAGGTTGGGGTTTTGGGGAGCTTTGAGGCGGCTTTGACGGTTTCGTTGCTATTTTTTGGGGGGTCTTGGGGGTCTGGGAGAGAGCTTCCTCGACCAACTGCTGCCACTGCCCACAGCCTCAGTCCGAATATACCACCGAGCTGCAACCTATCCCCGGCAAGGGCCAGCCTGCATGGCGGCGATGCGATCACAGACTTCTTCGGACTGAAGCGCCACCTCCGTCGGCGAGTTGTCAGCAAATGACGGCCCAAGAGACGCCCCGGCCTCGACACCCGCGCGCTGCGGAGTTTTGGAGCTGAAGAACGGCCTGGCACTCGCAGCGAACGAAACCCCAAAAGGGACCCCCCCACCCCCACTCCCCGCAGCCCTGCTCAAAACACAACGTGCTCGCCTTTGGAACATCAGCCCGACCGGCGGAAAGCGCTGCCTGAGTGAGTCTCATGCCCCTCGACATGCAAAAGCTCGCAAAGCTCTCGGGAAGATTTTGCAATCACAGTTCTCTGGTTCTGTGGGCACTTTTGCAAGCAAAGGACGTCTTCACGATGATGCGCCTGCCCGGAGAGCATCGACTTCATCTGTTGCACATCAGTCTGTGGCCCCCTGTGTGACATAAATGTACGCTTTCGATCCCTGTCCATGGTTCCTGCGTGACCGATATCATGCGACCTTCCCGACGCTTTGACGAAATTCACCCAGCCTGTGCATGGCAGCTTCGATGAACTCCAGGGACATGGCGCCCTGCGCAACCTGAAAGGCGTTCTCAGGCATCAGTATCTTTATGAGCTACAGGACGATGCCCAACGTCATAGATTTTCAAGCACCGGGAAAGAGAGCCCTCTCAAAATCCCCATACCCAGAACGTCCAGACCCCGCGGACGCATGCAGCGCGTTGTTCAAGGAATGCCCTAGCCGCCACGCAACACTGGCACCGGACAACCTGGACTCTGCACAGGTTTCCCTTCAACTCGAACCCTGCGGGACCAGCGCTGCAGTGGCCACCATCTTCCGGATCTGGTGAGTCAGGAAGCTATCCCCACCTCAGGGACTTTGAGATCCCCAGGCTCCCAACATGACCCAACATGGGCCACACAGATCCTTCCGAGTATCTTTCGGGGAACCGACTGATCTCCAGCGGAAGCCACTCTCTGTCGAAGTCGTCCACGAATGGATCTCCACAGAACACCCTGCGATAAGGCTTCATGCGAACTGTCTCCAGAGCCTATTTCTAGCACAGTCCTCACTTTGCACACGTGCTCCAGGACAGCCATCAAAAGCCGCAAAAAAACATCAACAGATACCCAACGTTTGCACCCTCACAGCGACAAGCAGCAGGCTCAGTGCCTCCGCAGGTGTCGAAAGCCCTGCGGGCCCTCGGATGACAGAGCTGCGGGGAGGATCCCCAGAAAGCAAGCAACTCTGGGAGGAAGTTGGCAAGAAGCACCCAACTTCAGAGAAACGTGATGAAACCGTAAACTAAACGCACTCTCTCGTAGCCTCAAAGTCTTCAAGGTGACACCTGTAGGGCAATGAGGCGCCAACCCTCGGGTCCAGCTTCTTGTTGGCAAAGTTGCCGAAGTAATGACTGAAGCAACCGGGGGGGGAGCGGGGGGGGGGGGGATTTCGGGGGAACTGGGGTGCTGGATGCCACTCTGCTTTAAACAGGATGGGCCCACGTGCCCTCAAAGCTGTAGAAGGCTTCGCGAAACCGCTGCAGCTGTTCACTGCTGAGCCGGACCTAGGTCTCGGGAGAGGGCGGAAAGTCCGCAAGGCAAGACCGTCCACAACCGTCATGCTTCTGGACCAAGCGCTATAAACCCTTTTGGGCACCTCCACGAATCTCACCGCGAAATAGCAGAGTCATGCACAGTACGGAGTCCTATACGGAGTCATCAATACAACCCCCAGAACGCCCAGAGCACCCATCCACTTCACCACAACATATTCGCCTCTCGCAGGCCCAGCTCCTCCTCAATCTCCCTCAGATCCTCCGTCAGCTTTGTCACACAACTTTGGAGACTCAGCTGTTTGGATTCTCAACAACTCTTCTCGCAACACTTTGCGCAAAGCCTTCGCAAAATCACTACCGAGGCCAAATTTTTCTCAGAGAATGTCTTTGCAAGCTCGCCAAGCTCCTAGATAGGGAAAACTGTGCCCCGCGTGTGGCGCGCGCCTCGACGCCGAAACCCGTCGGGGATTCCAGGGGCCTGCGGGACGAGATGGGACGAGCTTAAGCAGCAAAAAGAAGGGACGCACTCGGAGAGAAGCCTCTTCTCAGCAAGCCATTGGCGGACTTTGGCCAATGTTGGGGCAGCCTTGGTGCAGTCTGGTGCGCAAGAACTCGGGAGGTCGCTGATCGCGTGGTGGTAGGAAGATGACAAGCGCTGGTTGCAGGCCAGGGGCACAAAAGCTGGGCACCAAGAAGCGGTAGTCCCGGCGAGCGCCCTCCTTTCAAGGGGGTTCGGATTCCGACAAAACATGGGGTGACTCAGAGGGGAGGAAGATGCCAAAGACGGAGGCCATGAGGGTGGAAAGAGTCGCTGTCCGCAAGCAAGCCGGCCAGGCCCATCGGGCGTTGTAGCGCTTTGAAACTCTGGCGGCACCGTGCAACTCCACCTGAGCTGTGCAGAATTAGAAGTGCCGAGAACACGAGAGAAAAAAAACAAAATAGCATGGCACAACATCTGGGAGACTGTGCTCCAAAACCAAGGCCCGAACCTCTGGCGGCAGGAACCTCAAAGAAGTTGAGAGGGCTAGTGAGGCGTTGATTTTGGGGCGTAGCTGGCACGGAAGCTTCTCTTAAGCTACGCTTTTTGGATGCTGCCTGTCGAACTTTGCACCAGGCGATCGCTTCAGCGTTGGCCGCTTATGGCTCAGGCACCCTCATCCCAAAGTCTGCACCGACAAGTCCGGCAAGAGAGAGAGGACTTGCTGCACTTGCCTCTGGCTTTAATCTTGCAACCTGCGGCGTTTGCCTCGCGCGTCGTTCTGGAAGGCGTCCACAGCTGCCGCTGCTGCTGTCTCTGGCACACCCGCTACAAACAGGCTAATCTTCAGCGCGACTTCTGTCCATCTTGTCATCACTTCAGCATAGGCCGGCAGCGTGACCACTTCCGCCATGTGGTCCTTGATGTAGGAGAGACAAGTTTGTTCAAGCAGGTTGGCCTGGAGCAGGTGGGCCTGGCAAAGCATCCCACAGACATCGGAGAGGCTCACCTGCTCTGATAGCCGCATTTCGCACCACACCTGCAGTCTCTTGACTTGATATCTGTGGCTAACACCCAACAGCGATTGCAGCTGCGACACTCGCGCACGCTTGCAGTCACCGTGACAAGAAGTCTCTATCATGTCTTCGACATAGGTGAAGCTGTCAGTGTAAAGGAATGGCAAGAAAGTCCGGAAGGTGGCAGGCTCACGATCCCCGATCACGATCACCTTGGAGACGGATTCCTGCATCCCGGCAGTCAGCTGCTTTCCAAATACCTCTGACCGGGCACAAAGGACTTGAGAGTGCGCCTTGATCACATCCTCCTGTACCCGAAACAAGACATCACTGCACGTGCCCTTCTCCAACAAGGCTTGCATGTCCCAGCCCAGGCTGGGTCCCGGAACCTCCACAGCAGACCTGATAACTTTCGTGCAGGCATCTCCTTCTGGACGCACCTCCAGCAGAACTTTCACGGTTAGGCTATCGTTTGCGACCCAATCAGACTGTAAGAGTTGCTGATGGGTCAAACCGAAGATGCCCATCGATGTTGGTGTGCCATGCCGCACGGGCTCATGCACATCGGGCCCATACGCGTGGCCGCGCTCCACCTCATGGTACTCATTGCGAGTGTCGCCCCACTGCACAAAGGTCTCATCACGTGCCTTGACAAAGATGCCATACCGAAAGGCGATTCGCTTAAAGCCCATGTAGCGCAGGGCAAGGGTCCCGTTCTGCGACTTGCTGACTCGGCCTCCGTCTGGGTTGTAGGCGCAGTCGAATCGCTCAGCATTCACAAAGAAGTCTGCTGAGGCATGAAGCGCTCTGCCATCCTGCAAAAGGCAGCATTTCAACCAGGACATTTGCTCGAGCTTCCACAAGAACTCGCTTCGAGACACCCGATGGCCGAAGTTCACGGTCTGGCCGTCACATCTGACAAGGGCTTCCTCCGGAATAGCGGCGTAGCGCGGCATTGCAGAGCATGGCGGCCGCATAGAGATGCCGATGGCTCCGAGTGCTGTGGGGCCCCAACGGCCACAACCGCGCCCACATGCCTTCTCATTCCAGGACACCCCTTAAACCCTATGCCCCGAAGGGAGACTTCTTTGCTTGTATGTTGTTGAGGGCAGGCAAGGAGGGAGGGTTCGGCGTCTGATGGGCTTGAGGGCTTGGGGGCTGAAGGACTTTTTGGACTCAGCTTGTTTGAGGGGCTTCAGGCTGGGATGAAGCCTTCGGGCTGAAGAGGCCTCTCAGCAACACTCCACAAACAACATGCCCAACCATTGAAGAAGGTCAGTTTAGGGAAGTTTAGGGCTTCGGGTTTAGGGTTTAGGGCTTAGGGCTTAGGGATTGCGGAGGGCGCCAGTTGGAACTCCAAAACTTTCAAAATCCGGAAGCGCCGACAGGCAGCGAGCGAATCCTCTCGACGAGGTCAGCCAGCGCGCCTTCCTCCTGCATCACGCAATGGTGCACTGGCGCCAACTGGAAGTGGCCCTACTGTCAGGGCAGCGAGTAGCCGTCAGCAACCTGCCATCTCAAGCTACTGAGGGCGCCCAACGTCCCAAAATGCAGAACGAACCCAAAAATGAGCAGATTTTCCAGCCGCATGAGACATCAGGGCCTCGCGCCATCAGCACTGGAGTGCTGTGAGACACAGGCATGGAGAGCCTAGAGCGCCAGCTGCTGGAGCTGGGACAGGTCCAGGCCGCATGCCCTAACATCGTCCAGGCATTCCAGCTTGCACCTCGCACATCGAAGAAGAGCAAAGGCTTTTGCAGAGCTGGAATCAGATGCAATACACCACTACCCCTGCATGAAGTCGGTCTGCACAATGGACATCTTGCCTTCGTGTACTGCACTCCCGAAAGAACCGGAGCCCATGTCTTAAAAAACGGGCCGTGAGACGGGCCTCTTGGGTAGCATCGACTTGATCCAGTCGCAGATCAGCTCGGTGGCGACGGCCGGGTGACAGCCAGAAGCCACGGCCAGGTGCTTCAAGGCATTGACCTGCTGAAGTCCGCTTTTAGCTGGTGTGTGAAGGGAAGAGATAACTTAGATATACTGAAATAAGACTTTGGGAAGTCTTCGCAAGAACAGAAAGATCCACAATCTCATGTCATGCCGACACTTTGCAGGAACCCCGGGCCCTAGCTCTGGCTCTACTTCTTCCCCTACTCCCCCGCCCCCCCCATCGCTCGATCTGCCTCCCCAGGCTCTGCTGCGACCAGCAGCAGCGGTGGGCACGGGGCGGTCATGTAGAGCCCTGGGCCTCAGGCAACATCTCAGGGAGCTGCGGGGCGCAGCATGACTGAGCCATGACGCCCAAAAAAACATTATAAAAAAAAAACCCTTATCTGATGACCTTGCCGCTGCAGCCCTCATGGGCGCCTCCAGGGCAGGTGGCGCCGTCGCCCAGGGCAAAGACCTTGTGGCTGCATCGCACGGTAGATATTTTCCGAAGCGCAGCGGAGCACAGCAGAGTGAAGGGATGTGAGGAGTGAAAAATAAGCGTGCAAAACGTCCTGTCAAAGGAGCTCTGTACTCCGAAGGGAGGTCCGCAGTGGCCAGGGATGAGGCGCCTGACCAAGGGCCCCCCGAAAAGGCCCAGTGGGGCCCACGCCCCCCATACTTTGGGATATTCCCCCTGATAACAACAGTCCTGAATAGGGATTATAGTACCCTGCCCGTGATAGTCCCTACACTCCTACAGTCCGGCGGAACGCAGCGCTTGCAAGGTCAAGCAAGACTGAGCATGCCCCCGAGCCTCCCCAGGCGATAGCGATGCCCGTGACGTCCTTCGCATTCTGTGTGGGGTTCAGGGCGTTGGGGGGTTTAGGGTTTAGGTTTAGGGTCTAGGATTTAGGCCTAAGTTTAGGGTTTAGGGTTTAGGGTTCTCCCACGTCATTCATTTCAGGCAAGGAGGGTTGGAGTCCAGCTCGGACACAACATGTTGGTGACTGTACATTCCAAGAACCTCCGAAACCTCGCATAGAAGTGGCCACTCCCTACACTTCTGTTTCTGGAACCCCCCCCCTGGTTGGGATGTTCCCCCTTATCTAACAGCCCTTATTAGGGATTCTTGTACCCCCTATGATAATCTCGCAACATCCAGCCCCTGGGTACAAAAGAAGGCGCCTCCGCAAGGAGATTCAGAAAACGAGAGCCCCAAACCCGGCAAACTCAGCGCTGCGGCGTGTCCTTTCTCGGCACCGTCCAGCAGGCGTGGCCTAGCTTAACCAAACTCTCAGGTTGTCGGAGCCCTTCATTCCAAGATTTTCCGAGGCAGTGGCAAAACAACTGCAACAACTTGGGTGTGCTGAAATATCGAGAACACCCAAAACCCAAGCACCCAAACATCAACAAAACATCCCAGCCCCGCCGAAGTTGCCTCTGCCCGTGCCACACCTCTTCCCTATGTCCCCGCCTCCAGTCAGTGAAGAGGCCGCAGCCTGAGGAAATGGAACCAACCAAGGAACACTTGAATAATGGCTTCATACGGCCTTCTTTCCTTATTGCGATGGCTGCTGTGAAACTGTGCGCGTGGGCGACTTTCATGCGAAGGCGTCTCAGACTCTGTGAATGATGCGCATGGAGAGAGTACCTCCTTGCAAGCACCTCCCACTCCCGGCCTGCGCGACGCTGGGCGAGTTCGTGGCAACAACGCGAGGCCCCCCGGCTGTGGCTGCGGGGCGGCTCTTGCTTCCCCCCATGGCGGAATCTTGGAGATGCGTGCAAAAGTGTTGCAACACCTGGGCTGGACCTGCAATTTAGACCGCCGACTTCAGGGCCCGGCAGATTCATCGCGATGGGGAAAAAGAAGTAGCGAACAAAAAAGGGCTGAAAAAAAAGTTGAGGTGCCTCCTTCCATGGACTGGCAGTCAAGGCTGTGAGCCGCCTGAGCCCCAAAAAGTCACGAGCTGCCAAGTCACAGAGTCGCCGACTCAGCTTCCAGTTGGAGCTGCAGCTGGAATGAAAAGTCTCGGGTTCGCTTGGGGCTTCATTGGAATGTAGAGTGTGTGGATTTTGTTTGGGGGAGAATGCACCGAACGCTACACCGGAAACGCGTCCTTCCCGACAATCAAGCGACCGGTGACCACGTTGCCTGGCGAGAAGGCAGCATGGGTGGCCATCGCAGTTCTCAAGTGGTGGGTACTTCCCAAAATAGGGGGTACCCCTTTTATACCCCAAACTGAATAGAATCCCCTTAAAGGGACCCCCAAAAAGGGGGTCCCTCTATTTTCGGGAAACCCCCAGGTGAGTGTGCGAGGACAGCCTGTCTTCAGCTTCTTAAAGGCTTCAAGCGCGGCCGGGGTACAGGCGGCGCTGACCTGGGCTCTACCGGAAGCCCTAAAAAGGCATTCCAAAGGCGCTGAATGCATTTAAGGGCGTTGGGGAGAGGGCTCAACATTCCATGCCGGCAGCACAGGAATCTTGCAGGTCGCGGCTGCTCCGCGTGGAGGGAAGATTCGGTCCACA